TTTAACCGGTACATGGGGATGATTTGAATGTTAAACATACCTAAGCATATGATCATCAATGTCATTAAATCTCACATAAACACTTTAAAATCGTCATTACGATTACAGATTTGAGAGTTAACTGCAATTACATGAAAAACTGAGTAGCAATGGCAATGCAGATTGTTTTTGGAAAAAAAAACTTTCGTTTTTAATTGAATCATATTCGATAATTGTAGTGCTGAAGGCTAGCCTCTGAATCATAGGCTGAGGCTAGTTCACCCCATAAACTGGTCTTTAGGAAATGTGCATAGACGCTTCGCCTGGACTTGTATGGCCGTGCTTCTTTTCCCCTTCCATCGTTCACCGAATTTCTTTTCCTTCCAGGAGGCGATACAATAATTTTTTTATGTACGCCCTCCAGATACTTTAAATGGAACTTTCCACAATCCTTGGCTCGATAAAAGTGGAGGGGAGTGAAAGATCTTTCGGGCAAGAATCCAAGAACTCAATTTCTTTATGGCCGTTGGTTGGAGGTTGGCTCTTCTGAGTTTCGTCGTTTTCAATTCCATCGTACACCTTGCATTCGTTACCTTGCCTTCTTGGAACAGATGGGATCCCTTTCTAAATAGTGTGCTATTGTGATGGTCGTGAGGTGGACTTACAGTGTTAAACATTCTTCAAGTCTTGCTGCCATACTAAGGCGGTTAAAGCTAGATGGAACAGATCCAAGTGGTATTTCCAAAAAAAAAAAAATCTGTCCATACCATGGGTGCACAACTCAAAACGCTGCGAGGGCAATTTGCGATTTTTACTCAACTCATTTTTACTACCACAGGCCGCATTCTGGCTGACCATAGGTTCCTGTCCTTCTGGCTACAGCTTAGTAGCACTTACAACGTAACCGTAATACATGTCAAGATTGGATATAGGTGTCTTGTACTTAAATTTAAGATGTATCATATTGGGAAGCAGGGAAGGTTTTTTCTTGGCCTGGAGGCAGTTGCATTGGAGTCAACTTTTGAAATCACTTCTTGAGGGGTCTATGCTCATCTATCTACTCCAGAAGTATCGGGTCATTTTGTCTATCGAAATGCGTGTGATCATCATTTGAACACCAGAGTATATTACGGTGTTCTCTCAGGTGTGTTGAGGTGTTCCGACCTCTTCGTTCACTGGTTCTGTGAAGTGTTTTTCGCAGCGGATCGTCTCAAGGAACACTTCCATTGTTTATAACACCTGGGAACATTTAAGGAACACCAAGGTACGGCTGAGGTGTTCCATTATGTGTTTCAGCAGGTTTTCTGGCCACAAATATTTTTTTCAGTGTAGCACTCCACCTTATCTATAAGAAGCAGTTATACTTCTGTTAACTACTCATGAAAGTTCGTCTGAACAGATCTTTACTGAATGGACCTGCACTCAGGTGCACTGCATAACCACAGAAAGGGGGAAAGGCATCTTTTGAATAAGAGGGCTAAATGGTGATCAGCTTATCCGAGGAATTTACTTTTTACAAGTGGAAACTCGCTGAAGTAGCATTGGACTTCAATAAGTGAAACATATGGTAAAAGGGGTGGTTTTCGCGCACTATCTTTGTATTTTGAACTTCCGCATCCCATGACGATTTTATCCTCCATCGGAGACTTGAGCGAAAGACCTCATTTTGTAGGGTGCCAAATTGGCTATCAAATATGAAAATATCAAATATTAGTACAGCACATCGTAGTGGGTCGCACGAAAGCATAAACTGGGCCGCACTTTGAATACCGTTGGCCTACACAGACACTTGCGTATCCAATGAGAGCTCGACCGTGACCTTATCATCTATGTACCCAGATTGGTGGAGTTGCGGAAAATACAATAATTTTTTATCTACGCCCTCCAGGTACTTTAAATGGAACTTTCTCTTCCCTCCACTTTTATCGAGCCAAGGATTGTGGAAAGATATTTCGGGCAAGAATCCAAGAACTCAATTTCTTTATGGCCGTTGGTTGGAGGTTGGCTGTTCTGAGTTTCGTCGTTTTCAATTCCATCGTACACCTTGCATTCGTTGCCTTGCCTTCTTGGAACAGAAGGGATCCCTTTCTAGATAGTGTGCTATTGTAATGGTCGTGAGGTGGACTTACAGTGTTTAAACATTCTTCATCAAGTCTTGCTGCCATACTAAGGCGATTAAAGCTAGATGGAACAGATCAAGTGGTATTTCTAAAAAAAGTATGTCTATACCAGGGGTGCACAACTCAAAACGCTGCGAGGGCAATTTGCGATTTTTACTCAACTCATTTTTACTACTACAGGCCGCATTCTTGCTGACCATAGGTTCCTGTCCTTCTGGCTACAGCTTAGCACTTACAACGTAACCGTAATACATGTCAAGATTGGATATAGGTGTCTAGTACTTAAATTTAAGATGTCTCATATTGGGAAGCAGGGAAGGTTTTTTTCTTGGCCTGGTGGCACTTGCATTGGAGTCAACTTTTGAAATCACTTCTTGAGGGGTCTATGCCCTACACACTGCTAGGGCTTTGAGTGAGCCCTCTGCCTTGACTATATGCATATTGTGAAATCCTGCAACTTAGTGGGTATTCGAAGATTGAAATTGAAGAAACATATATATATAGCACTTCTAACATGATGAAACCCATCACCCTGGTATATGCAACAGCTTTTATTACTTTTAGGCCTAACTCTAGGCATCCATTGTAACTTCAGAGAGCCAGCTCGACCATAACTCGCGAGGCTAAACTCTCCTCGATAGAATGTAGGTCTCAACTGAGGAGACGCAATGATTCAGGTGACTTCCAGCTCGTCCATCGAGTAAGTTCGGCTGATAAACACTGCCTGTAATATATGTTTCAGCCTTGTCATTGTAAATAATGTTAGGCGGTGGAGTACGGTTCAGGGCAGGCGTCTGAAGAGCTTAAGTAATTGCTAAGAAATCACATTCATAGTCATTCCACCTCAGTTATGCCGAAATTGGCGCCCCTTCTGATCCTTGCATTCCTAATCCCTTAGCAATCCAAATGAACAGCTCATGGCCCGGCGCATTACTGTACTGTGATGATGTACAAGAGTTCGGCTGTCGCGACGCCCTTTCGGATAATGATGAAAGCTCGTCGTTTGCTTCTAAGGTTATTTCCAGTACTTCTCATACTTCTAGACATCAGACCAATATCCAGGCCGAATTCAGCCATGGTTAAACCATGATTTTTCCCCCCTTCAATCTATTGTTTTCACAAATAGAACGATAAATACAATGTTATTCTATGCATTTCTAAAGTAAACTCTATTAGCTTACCATAATTCCAGAGTTTATCAGGAGTCTATAACATCTCGTCTGATATCTACTCCAAAAGTATCTGGTCATTTTGTCTACCGATATGCATGTGATCATAATTTGAACACCAGAATATGTTACGTTGTTCTCTCAGGTGGGCTGAGGTGTTCCTCTTCGTTCACCGGTTCTGTGAAGTGTTTTTCGCAGCGGATCGTCTCAAGGAACACTTTCATGGTTTATAACACCTGGGAACATTTAAGGAACACCAAGGTACGGCTGAGGTGTTTCAGCAGATTTTCTGGCCACAAATATTATTTTCAGTGTAGCACTCGACCTTATCTATAAGAAGCAGTTATGCTTCTGTTAACTACTCATCAAAGTTCGTCTGAAGAGATCTTTACGAAATACTGCACTCGCGTGCACTGCATAACCACAAAAAGGGGGAAAGGCATCTTTTGAATAAGAGGGCTAAATGTTGATCAACTTACCCGAGGAATTTTCTTATTACAAGTGGAAACTCGCTGAAGTAGCATTGGACTTCAATAAGTGAAACACAGACCTCAATTGAAATAACATTTTGCGTGGATAGCATGTCTTTCTTGGGACACGGTAGTTCTTGATCTAAACGAGGCAAACGAAGTGCGAGTAGGAGGAAAACTAAGCATGAGGTATGAGAGTGATGGCAAGGACAGACCCATATACTGCACAAGTGGTCCTAGAATTTTAGCCGGAAATTTTCCTTAATATGCCAATATTACTTTCGCTACAGAAGTTCATCTCTTTTCCTGGAAGACATGAGTGAAAGAGAATATTACATTGAGAAATGAAAGAATTAGTCATGTCTATGATATATTGTTCATACTAAATATTGCTCATACTACTACTACCACCCATGATACTAAAAAATATGGTGAAAATGCAAATCTGGAGAGACTGAATTAGGCTGCTGGAAGAGATTCCAGCATGGGCTTTCTATCCATACTGATAATTTCAAGTCAGTTCAGGTGTGAAGAGTAGATGTCAATTGTTCACATTTGAATGATATCTTTAAAATGAAATTAATATGTATTGATATGTACTGACTTCTCGTTTCAAAATACATTTTCAAAATATGTCACATCCGACAGTCACAAAAAAGGAACATGTCAAATGTTGTCATTTTGGGGTGACTTCCTAACTGACTAATTCCAGGCGTTCATTCCATCTGTAGAATGATCATCAAACTAAATTATTAGGATCCGCTCGATGACAGATCTGTGAACATTAGTCCAAGTGACTTAAACCTGAGGTTCACGAAATGTCACGTCTGACACTTTCCTTTGCACATAGGTACACCTCTAACAAAAGAGAGAGTGCAAAGCTTTGGATTATGGAATTTTCAGTCACTACCCAAAGTAAATTGTTACAGCCTTTATATGCTGATTCGCCATCCATAATACAATTAGATACATTGTGTATGCTAAAAATATTACTCCGGATGTTACATCCGACACCGTAGACAGACAAATATATATAGACATTGTAGATGTTAGCTCCTATCGGTGTCCTCTCTATCACAACGAAAGAATGTTAGCTCCTATCGGTGTCCTCTCTGTCACAACGATATGAAGGAACGTGGGTGTTTTCGTACATGGAAAAATGCGATGAAACGGGCATTGTTGTGGGCGAGCATTGACGTTTCAGGTGTGTCGACAGCCAAAAGGAAACGTTAATAGAAACGCCTGTAAGTCCTGGGATCGTGATGGAGAGTGCATCGGCACACAGTGGCCTCTCATATGTGGATTTCATACCAGAACGTCTGGAAGGAGGGGGCTTCTTCTCAGCGTTCACGTACGAACCCTTTAGGCAAGTCCCAGGAAAATCCTTAATCGAAGGTAGTGCGTGTCCCTGGATATATCCTGCCTACCTTCCTGATTTCTCTAGTGTCCTTATGGCAAGGGGCAACGAATGGCTAGCAAAGAATGCCGACTGGGAAGCAGTGACGTGTGAGAGCATGGAGTTCAAAACCACGGATCGGGTCCAGGCCGAAAAAATGACCTACTATGAATCCGGCGAGAGACACACCGCTTACGTCAGGTATGGGAAAGAGAAAGCCCCAAAGCTTCCCGTGGTTCGGGGAGAACTAGGCACGTTTCCTGAAATTTATTTAAGTGGAAAACTGATTTCGATATATACCACGTGTCCTCGCTTTTTAGAGGACAGTCACTAGAATCTACATTCTATTCTTCTCTAGCCAGGAAAACTATTCTGTAAAAAAAAAACTAATGGCTCACGATGATTATTTTTCGTGTTGTTAAATTGGGGAGGTAGCAGAATTACGCAAGTTCGCCTCATAGAGGGGGAGGGACATGGGTTTGGAGCAAACTCACCCCAAAGAGTGGGTTTACATTTTTTTGCTTTAGTTTAATTCCGAATAATTTTCACTATCGCGAGAAAATATTTAATTATAAAAAGCATGGAACTCCCAGGGACTGACGTTTCTCGATTCATTTCTGCCCTGGGGAAAGCATTGATAGGCGGATTTTGTTTTAAAAAATCCCCACTTGGCTCTATGTCACTGCTGGGTACCGGTTGCAGGTGTTTGAGGCTGTGGGTGAGGCGACGGAACAATCTAGACGAACCTCCTCAGCAGGTTGGCTACGTCAATTACGTCCCCGAAGTCATGGAGCAGAAGATGTTTGGGAGTCCCAAGTTCCTGCCTCTCAGCTGCATGGTCGATAGGATGAATGAGGTGTTCCGAGCGAACCCTCTTCCAGGGAAGATCATCACTATCGAAACCCAGGTCTTTCTCCCTCTGCAAAGGGATACTTACAAGTTTTGTTCCTCTGTTGACGTCACGTTCTACATTATTGCACACGAGACTTTAGATACGTACCAAAAACTCTACCGTCCACATTCAGAAGGGTTCATTGAAGGAAGTCAGTTCCAATTTTCTTTAATCGAACGGAATACAAAAATCCGACAATTTTTTATTCCCTTTTAATGATGGGAAGATTCCTTGCAAGACAGATGTATGTCCCCTCTAAGTCGATTGTTGACTCACCACCAGCCAGGGGTATATTTTAAAATTGGAGTGCTGTATTAAAAATTTCGGAGCAAGGACAAAATGTAATTCCTCCTGATTAGCATGCGGATTTTGCAATACGATTTATAATATTCTCTCCGAACTGTACAAGCTGTGAATTGTCACTATCCTTCGCGATGAAGTTATGGCGAAATTTTCCCTGTTCACCCGAGAATTACAGTGAACCAGTAATTGTAAGCTGGTAATCCCCTGCTTTTCAGCTTTGGCAGTCGCACCTCAACATGGCTGAGCACAGATAGCAGGCAGTCTCATGAGGTTTTCTTTGTAACGGGAATTCGTTATTTAAATTTGTAATGATTACCTAACACTGTTTTATTCATTTTATTTCAAATAAGCTTGTGTTTAAGTAAAAAAAAAATATATATCCAGTCGACATGATGCGATTCGGAAAGTTGTTTGAAAGCTTTATTGATTTAAATCAATAAACTATTCATCAATTTCAAAAGACGCCTCAGTCTTGCTACTCGCACATTTCGGATGCATGTCAAATACAGATCTTTAATTCCATATTGCTATCAGAAGAAAAAATACCTAAGCGCATCGCACGAATTCCTTCAGCAGGACCTTTTTCATTGCACCAACACTGATGATCCCAGTAGAATGTCATCAGCATGAGGGATAAAGAAAGACAGTATCGCTATTGAATGATGGATATTGATTGGATATTGACGAAAGCAGTAACGCAATGCAGGAAGCATTAGAACGGGTTTCCATACTTTGAAACAGGAGATGAAGGTGGACTCGTATTCTGGTCGATTGGATCCAGATCGATCTTATTGGGTGGAGCGTGGAGATGCGCAAAAACTCTTGGTGTTCGTCATTCGAATCTTCTTCCAGACTAGTTTCTCTAGACACGAAACCGGAGAGAGACAAGAAATCGGCCTAGCCGATTTCACCCCCATCTGTGAGAAACCCAGCGGCATCTTCAGGTATTATTAACACTTCAACCCGAATCGAGTCTACCTCCTTCGGAGGGAATCCGTTCATTTTGTCCAATTGAACACCCCAGCCATCCCAAGTACGAGAGCTTTAGTAGTATGGCTGGGAGGATGTCGTCATGGTGCCGGGATCAAAGTAACATCCGAATCACCAACATTCAAAGCCTGGAGTACAAACTCAAGCACGGACAATTGGATACTCAAAGGACGTGGTACACCGAGCATGGGGGTGTCAATACGTATTATGTACGGATCCTTCGGGTGGCCTTCGTCCGAACCAAGGAAATCCACGTTCCTCGATACACTGTCACCTGCCGCACCTTTGTTCCGGTTCAAACCAAGCAAGGTAAGAGATCGCATGAACTCCGTAAAAGCGGCGAGGTGTCCAGTCTTTCCTATCTTGGTCCCGGAAGTGAAAGTATTAAAAACTGAATCATTTCTTTTTCCTGTTTGCGTCTGTCCTTTGTGAAAATTTATCCAAAGTTTATAGTATATTTATGGTATCATTGAAGCTTTTAAAACACATAGAGCAAATGGCTTTTTAGGCCCATAAGCAGTTGAACAAAGAAATTGATGCTATGTTAAATAAGTTTTTTTTTTTAATGTAATATCTATATGCCAATAGTGTAAGTTATTCAACAGCGGCTTCTTCCCTTGCTCCCATATTTTCCTTGAAGGAGGTATCTTCAGAGAATCAGAATATGAGAGCATGTCTCAGACCAGGGACCGAATCGCAGCCTGGATGGGACTCACTGGGGCCACGCTGGTCGGCGCTGAGACCTCAGCCATACGATTGAACACTGGTTAGTCTGTACATGTCTTCCTTTTTGAGTATTTTTCTCTACGCCAAAGCAATGATTTCATCCCAGGAAAATTGATTTTGTTATTTGAATGGATTGACACGCGGTTACATGTAAACATGCTTCTTCTTAATTCTCAGAATGCATAGTGCAACTTCGCTTCCCAACATTGCAGATGGGATAGTATCCCTGAGTATCTTTCACTTCAGACTTCCTGCGACATTTGAGATTTGGCATGTTGAGTAGTGAAAATCACTGGTTAATATCATAGTCAATCTTCAGATATCTTCGATGTTACTCTTTGTTAATGTGTAATCTTGATTAACATCTTTAGTCTCAGTTTTCGTAAATCAGCAGCTGATCCCTGCGATAACTTGGAAACTGTTCCTATGCTACTTTCACTTCTTCAAGACTTCTCATGTTCAGTCGTCGTTCATTTTTTTTTTACAGTTAAACATATTTGTCTTTTTAGTTGTCTTACTCGTCTACCATTGCCATCCACGGGAATTTTTTTATTACATTGAATATACTTCATTTAAGAACCATAGCTATGACTCCATCCGGAAAAGGATTTTGGACACTTGACTAAAGACACTTGGGAGAATTCTGAGCCGAAAAATGTAATCAAGAAAATGAACCAGACTCAAGAAAATTGGCTTTTCCAGGTGGGGAAAGAAAGATGGGACCTGAGGCGACATACACCTTCAACCAAACAGCGCCTTACAGACATGACATGCATCACGAGCACGGTGCCACCCACCACCGGCATGCTGTTACCGAACGTTGGATCTATATCATCCGACTTTATCTGGACGGGGAATACAAGGAGCCTCCCGCAGAGCTCCTACCTCCCGTTCCCCAAATCAGACATGACTCCTCCTGCAATATATTATGACTTGACTTCTTTCATTGGATGGATTGCACGTGCCTGTGCAGGCCCACGACTCAAGACAAAAACATTTATTCTTGCGCTTTAGTATTCGCACACGGTAGTCTTATCACTGTCTTCCGCATCGGTTCCAAATCATTGAATACATTATGATTGGGAAACAATTTCTCTAGTCAAACAGATATTTGAACTTGAGATTATTGATTTTTCAGCATGTCCCAATCCCAGTGACAAAGGTTCACAAGTAAAATCTCATCTTCCTCATTATTACGGAACTAATGACTATCACTTAAAGACATATTTATCGATATTGATAGGTCCCTTGAGCAAGAGGAGTTTCCTCCCGTTCACTCCTAATGCCAAATGGCTCTTATATCTTGTATTCCAGTGGCAAGCTGTATATGCCAAAACCGTATCATTATGATGGAATTAAGATTTGCTCTTTGTGCCTTAGAAACTTTCACCAGCGAATTCTGTTGAGGAAATCTGGAGATTCTTCCGGATAGGTCTTCCATCTTGCCATGAGGAAATAATTATCGTGATGCCATGTCTTTTAGGCAGAGTTCTCGAGAGGCTCTTGCTACAAGTTTATAATGCTGTAATTACAAATGTAAAAGAAAGATATTTCGAGTTTTTGAGTTACGGAAGATCTCATATTTCGCGACCATGCGAACTTTTCTCACGAGACCAAGTGAAAACGATATTTCATCGAATTTTATATAGGTCTATGATCCTTTCTGCATCGCTCGTATCCGTTTATTTTCGGCAACATTTCCAGCCAATTCAGTATTTTCTTTGAAATTGAAGTGGGAAAATGAAAAATTCGATCTCACTTTTCTGTTGAGCTGTGTTGTGCTCACCAAGGGACAAATGAACAAAATTAACTCGTACATCAATTTGCTAACACTGTTACACTCTTTTGCAGGCAGGAGCAAACAATACGCAAATTTATTCCCTAGAATAATTAAAAGGCAACACTGTAAATATAAGAGTACCTTATAATATAGGGGTAGATGGAGCAAAGGGGGCAACTCAGATTTCAACCAAACCATGGTCAGATTTTTTCACGGGTGCAAGTTTTCAGGCACAGCGGCGCACTGTATAGTAGCTTGCAAACGCCCTAAGAGCAAAATAAGAAAACAATTTTCTTTGTTTTGGTCATAAAAAACTCGAAACAGATAAAGTAACATGGAAACCCTACGGGCGTCCGATATTTCGTTCGGCGAAAGGTGAAAATGTTAGCCATTACATCAAGTCATAATATTTCCAATAGCTCACTCACTTATTTTTTGGCTAATCTTAATCATAGCCGGTGCTGGTGGGGCAAAATGGGGCGGTACAGTAGTTCCATACATCTCTTTTCCGCTGCTAGAATATCATTTACAACGATGAGACCCAGGCTGAAGGGGGGAGCGATACAGTTCAGATTCTTTCTCACACTCAAAATCCGCTGTAGGCTGGGTAACCTGCTCTGGTTTTTTTTTTGGAATTGGGCTTATCCGTGTCGTCATCGATGCCTGCACAGCCGTAATAAGGACGTATTTGTTTGTGACTTCTGTAAATATGCATCTATGATGAAGACACGATAATTGATACCGCAGCAATTCTTTTGCCGCAGAAGTTTCATTGGTTCCTTTCCTTAGTATTAATAGATAAGCACATGAACACATGGGAAAACGTGATGAACAAGAAACAGTTTATTTGTAGGTGTTTCATTGCTAATTCTGTTCCTTCACCTGTGAGTGGGAATATAATGAAGACTTGGGGAAACGAGAGAAGGCATCTATTTGTCATTTGTGGATGTTTTGTTGCGGTCTCTGTTCTGTGAATTTTTTAATTAAGCATATAATAAAAACACCGGAAAACATGTGAGATGTACGTTTCTTATCGGTAGGTATTTCTTTGCGATTTCTGTCCTGTGACATTTAAGTCTATGTTACGAATAAAAACTTTGTAAAACACAATTTGAAGGAGTACACCGTTTTGCCCCTGTGGGACAAAACGGGGTATTTTAACAAGTTCTAGAAATGTCGGGGGAAAAGACCGCCGCTGTTTTCGCGATGAGGTTGAATGGTATGCTCTGCCTTACATGTCTTACGTACAAGCAATCTGCAACGTGCCACGCCAACTCCCGGTTCTAAATTTTGGCAGTCTCCCTTAACTCCTCCGTTTTGCCCTACTTATGATGCACTCTGGTCAATGCATGAAAATTCGAAGAAAATCTAGTTGCTTACTCTGCATTTATTTTCCGTCATGGAATGGAACAATCCCAAGGGTGTGGCTAGTATGCTTTTGCTGGAGGAACCGGAATCATTGTGAAAATCATAAAGTAATTTATGACCAAGCTGAGCTTATGGCTCAGTGGGACTAGGAGGAATTGCGACTTTAATGCAGCTAACGTGCCCAACATATGAAGGGGAAAATACGTGAGTTGGCCTTCGCGATATTAACATCGTCCAAATGCATGCAAATCGATATTATCGTCAACATGTCTAAGTACATATTACTATGACATCGCTGCCATTACCTTAGATTTCCCAAAGCAACGTTAAGTCTCCCTTTTTGACCGCGGAAAATTTCGACATGCCGACTCGTCGGTAGCTGAAATTAGTGTGGAAAGGTGAATAACATTGAAAGATGCCAAACGTTAATTCTACGAAGCGGCGTTCCAGCTGTGAGATGACTATCCAATGTCGCGTAGAGTTCCTTTTGACCTTTTTAGCTCTGGGTACTCACCTCGTCCCCTTTCCCATATCCTTCAGCCAACCACCAGCGCTCTCTTTGCCATTCCCTACTAGTCCGGCGCCGGAACACTCCATGGCCATGCCACTGCTTCTTCCCCTAGGAGCACGCTATAATAGACGCAGTCTTAGGTCGCATGTGTCGCCTCTCTTCTAGGCCTATTGATCTAGACTCGCGGTCGAGTTCCGCAAAGCGGTATAGTTCCGCTAAGTACTCTATATGACGCATGCATTGCAATCGTGCCTTGGATTTCCGTTCTTCCTTTTCAAAACTGCCCTCCGCTCTACGAGAATAGTCCACTTTCTTCTTTCCATTACGAAAAACTGTCCATTTACCGTGCACAATCCACGCACAGTCTTCAGCATTTTTACAGTGTCATCCTCGCCCAACGACAGCACGCGGTTCGATATAACGTTTAGGCTAAGGCTCCATTCAGGCTTCTAGCATAAAGTGAAACTAGAGGCGACACTAATATTTCGACCCTTCCCTACCCTCAGAGACATCTGGTGGCTTGTCATCAACACTTCCATGAGGCGTGCTTCGTGGCAGCCGAATCAGGAATCGACTCATTCGGGGATTCGACCCAAAGGGATCCATCAACGTAACGCGCTTGTTTTGTTGAGTCCGCTGTTAATCCATAGAGGAGTTGTTGACGTGTGCACGCTGGGTGGATTGTCAGTGACATCTATTTTGCGACCCTGTCAATGAATGGGATTCGAGCGGAGTGGAGCCTCTTGTTTAATTTTCTACACTATGCTTCTAGTCGACAAATTTCGACGTTAACGTTTAGGCTATGATGCAATCCATGCGCATGCTTCTGCTCGGTTTAACTACAGTATTAGGCCAAGATGCTTACATTCCGGTGCGTTGAAGCCCTTCAATACATTTTAAAATTATTTAATCAACTGAAGAATATGGAATATGAAGAATAACTTGTCAGAATATGGAACCCATTTCACTAAAGTATTTCCTTTTACCCTTTACTTCCCTTTCTTATTTTGTCTTTTCTAAATAAACATTATCTTTGAGGTGAGACTTTCGCAGCTCTTGCTCGTAAGAAGGTTCCTTTTGCTCTCTAGGTTTTTCTGATCTTTAAACGATAGGTTTGGTTTGGCTTTTAAACACCTCTACGATAGAGAACTGTTTGAAGTAGAACCCCTTTTTAAACGTCTGTTAGATCCTCAATATTCTCACGGCATTGCCGATTTTAAACGAGGGATCATCTAGAGGTTTATCTTCCATCCTAATGGGTATCATGGAAAAATGGGTGATACTGCGATCGTTTTGTCCGCCGTATCCATAGCAACCGGACATCTCGACTCAGTGTGCATGTGGATTTTTCCGGGGTACCAGTCTGCGATTAAAGCTTCCATTATTCTTCCATCCCTCGCGGATGTTGGATCCATAGTAAGCAATAGGGGTAAGTCTTCCTTGGGACACGGGTGGCTATTTATCTAAATGAGGCAACCGATGTGCGAATAGAAGAATGATGAGAGTATATTTACTTAGTAATACTTAACGCAGCGTCCTTTACTATAGAAATAGTGTATTTTAGAATGTTAGCTCCTCCTATCCGTTTCCCCTCCCATCAGAATGGCACAAGGGAACGAGGGTGTATTCGTACGTGTCAAAATGCGAAAAAACGGAGACCACTCCTGGTAAGCATAGACGTTTCAGGTGTGTTGACAGCAAAAAAGGAAACCTTAATAGAAACGCCTGTAAGTCCGGGGATCGTGATGGAGAGTGCATCAGAGCATCGTGGCCTCTCAAATGTGGATTTCATACCAGAATGCCTGGAAGAAGGCGGCGTCTTCTCATCGACCATGTACGAACCCTTTAGGTAAGACCGAAAAAAAAAATCCTTAATCGAAACCCCTGTTTCCCTGGATATATCCTGGCTACCTTTCCGAATTCTCTAGTGTCCTTATGGCAAGGGGCAACGAATGGCTAGCAAGGAATGCCGACTGGGAAGCAGTGACGTGTGAGAGCATGGAGTTCAAAACTTCAGATCGAGTCCGGACAGAGAGTATGATCTATTGTGAACACGGCCAGAGCCGTACTGCTTACATCAGGTACGGGAGAGAGAAAGCCCCGACGCTTTTTTCCATGATTACGAGAAAAATATGCACGTTTCGCAAGATTCGTTTTCCACTCAATGGAAGGGAAAGAAACATCTCTATTTACGTCCCACTTCCCTTGCTTTTCATTGGACAATAGTTAAAATTAACATTCTTTCATGATAGGAGACGTAATAATTATGAAATCGCCCCGAGATAGCGCGGAAGCATCCCGATTGCATGCCTAAAAATATGGATTACAGTAAGTACTTGCACATATAGATGCATGGTCCTGATCAAATCAGCATGATATGGAATGAGAGAAGTTGATAACAGTTGCAAAATTGGGAAAAGGCAAATAAAAAGGGATAATGACTGTAAATCGGTACACCAGTAAGTTGTGCGCCTGGAGGAATAGGGACACCGCGAGCCTTGCCAACCCGAAGGCTGGAACGACCAGATCGACTACCTTTGATCGAGAAGAGAAAGCAACCCATGATCTCAAGGTGACTCAATACCAAGAGAACGACTACGAATCACGTTCCTTATCGATCCACCTGATTTTACTACATAGGTTGTTACTATCTCGATTTGCTTAAAGGATTTAAATGTTCGGATTTTTTTTTAACGCTTATTTGGCTTGTATACAACTGCTGCATACCGGTTGCAGGTGTTTGAGGCTGTGGATAAGGCGACGAGACAATTTTGACGAACCTTCCCAGCAGCTTGGCTACGTCAATTGCGTCCCTGATGTTGTGGAGCAGAAGATGTTGGGGAGTCCCAAGTTCTTGCCTCTCAGCAGCATGATCATTAAGATGAATGAGATCTTACGATCGAACCCTCTTCCGGGGAAGATTATCACCATCGAAACCCAGGTCTTTCTCTCTCTACAACTCATGATTCTCGTCCACCAGTTGACGTCTTCAAAATTGTTCTAGTGAGGTTCATACCAGAAAAGCTTCCGTCCAAATTCAGGAGCCCAAATAGAAGGAAATTGGTTTCACTTGAGTTGTATCATTTTCCGATTTGATTGAAGAAATTTACATTTTACATTGGAAGGAAAGAGTACTAACAATGACGCGCCTGTCTTGCATATCTATTGTTGACCTCCCATCAGCAAGGAGTATATATTCAGCATAAAATTCTTTATTATAATAATAATAGACAATAACAAAATGTCAATAAGATGTTCCCGCCGACAGTATGTCAAGATCCATTTCCTTTATTTTTCATAGAATAGCTAATTTCATCATTCAAAGTTATTTAAGAGTAGGATGAGGGAACTCCTCTTCAGCAGGATCTTTTTCATTGCACTTAAACGAATTTAGCTTGTAGAATACCATCAGCACATAGGAAAAAAAAGGAAACCACCATTATTGAATGTGGGATATTGACAGCGAAAGCAGTAATTCAGTGCAGGAAGTTTTGGACAGGGTTTCCATACTTTGAAACAGGAGATGAAGGTGGACTCGTATTCTGGTCGATTGGATCCAGATCGATCTTATTGGGCGGAGCGTGGAGATGCGCAAAAACTCTTCGTGTTCGTCATTCGAATCTTCTTCCAGACCAGTTTCTCTAGAAACGAAACTGGTGAGAAACAAGAAATCGGCATAGTCGATTTCTCCCCCATCTGTGAGAAACCCAGCGGCTTCTTCAGGTAATAATAACACATAAACCCGAATGGAGTCTTCCTAATTCTGATGGAATTGATTATTTTGTCCAATTGAACACCCCAGCCATCCCAAGTACGAAAGCTTCAGTAGCATGGTTAGAAGAATGTCGGTCTGGTGCCAGGGTCAGAGCAACATCCGAATCACCAACATTCAAAGTATAGAATACAAACTCAAGCACGACCAATTGGATACCCAGAGGACGTGGTACACCGAGCATGGGGGTGTCAATACGTATTATGTACGGATCCTTCGAGTGGCATTCGTCCCAACCGAAGAAATCCATCTTCCTCCATATACTCTTACCTGTCGCACCTTTCAACCTGTTCTACTCGAGCGAGGTAAGGGATCGCTTAAGCATCAATGGTTTTAAGTTGTGGGGGTCCAATCTTTCTTTTTTAGTTCCTGAGAATAAATTATTCGAAAACTAATCGTTTCTTTTTCCTCCGAAAGGTAAAATATTTTTTTTGGTGCCTTGAATAAAAAAAAAATGTTCATGGTATAATTTACTTTTACATTGTAAGTTTCCGGAATTGAACAGAATGGAAGCATAGAATGAAGTTCATTTCAGCAAGTCATGATTTATTTATTCCAGGAATGTACAGGGTGATTCAAAAGTCACTCCCTAACTTGTTTTCTTTATATTTCCACTGATTTTGTATATTTAAAGGTGAAATTAGCTCACATGATAGTCAAGTAGTGGGAAAATATTTTGAAACATTAAGCTTTCAGTTCCTGGGCATGGAATGGCAGAAGGCTACTCAGTCATTTTGCACCACTGCAGAACTATGTGGATGGACATTGTTTAGTTCAATGATTTTTATGCAGCGTGAATTACGAAGGCACTCCGAATTTCACGATGCCAAAACCTAACGAAACACACCATACATTTTTTTTAAATAGAAACTTGGGGACTTGAGAATCCGGGAGTGTTTCATGGGCATGAACGCGACATGGTGAAAGTAAATGTTTGGTGTGCTCTTACTGCAAAAGAATCTTTGTCCATATTTGATTCATAAAAAAGCGCAAACAAAAAATGTCGATGGTCAAACTCATCATGAAATGTTCCATAATGCTGCCTGTTACTGAATTAGAGCCCTTAGACCTTGATTAGATCATCTTTCCAACTAAACGGGCTCTGTATTGTTGCGCGTGCCTGCGATGTGGCTCTTAAACCATCACTTCCTAACAGATGGATTGGGAGAGATTTAACTCTCTGGGCTCCTCGGTCACGAGACCTCGCCTCTTTCGATTTTTTTCTGTGGGGCTATGTAAAATGTATGTTATAAAATAACACAATTTAGCAGATTTGGAAGAACGCATCAGGACTGTAATGGAGGAAATTTCCCTGGATATCTTGTCCTATGTTGCGAATGAGGTTGTTCGGAGGTGGCTGCATTGAAATTGATTTTACGCAAGTGGAATTGATGTGAAAGTGGTGAAGTTAATTTTCTCATATTGAAACAAAACTCCCACAAGTGCTTTGAAGGATGATGCTTTTGGTTTGCGTGAATCTCTTTCGTTCTTGGAGAAACGTATTTTTGAACCGAGGGAGGCCCTTTTGAATGACCCTGTATTTCAATTCAACATTCATCTTAAGCAACAATTGCTTATTTTATCAATAAAAGGAGCTGAACGAAGAGGTTGTTGTCTTGTTAATACTTATTGTATTAATATATGCATATATATTCATTTGACTTTCAAGTGCTTCGATTGTGACTTCTTCCATGGCTCCCATATTTTCTCTAGGGGGGATGTTTAAAGCACCGGAATATGAGAGCATGTCTCAGACCAGGGATCGAGTCGCAGCCTGGATGAGACTTGTTGGGGCCACGTTGATCAGCGCTGAAACCTCCGCCATCCGATTGAACACTGGTTTGTCTCTGTGTCTCATTTGAGCATATATCCACACGAATCCTGTTAGCAAAAGGGAAGAAGGGCATGGTTCCAACCCAGGAAGATTAAGTTTGCCATTTTATTGGTTAGAGATGCGATTACAAATTTCATAAATCTCGGGAAAATATTCAGTTTATAGGTTAACACAGTGAAGTTCATTTGGCATCATTGGGCAGTAGGAATTTTGTTGAAATACAAGCAGAAGTGGCGCGTTGCCGGGTTCTATTGGTGTCAGTCACTCAGTCTTGGTCGAGCGTTCGTAGCGTGAGGACGTGTTGGAGGATACTCTCGAGGTTCTGTCAGCTAAGTCGTGAGTAAGTTGTTACCTGGCTACTTTGTAGCAGTATTCATAAGTTTCCTGATAGCTACCTCCAACTTCACATTAGATCAGTATCAATCAGCTTAATTACTTAAGTATTAGCACATTACTCGTAGTATTCCTTTTACTACAAGGACTAGGACAGGACAGTCTTACCGGGTTACAACTAGCGTGAAGTACTGCAAATTATAAGTCTAAAGCAGTAGGAGTGTCAATAGGGATCAGTAACATTAAGTAAGATACCTAGGATGTGTAGATACGTTCGTTGCGGGGATTGGGTAGGTGGGACTAGTGAACGAGAGGTATGCCAGGTATGCAGAGTTTGTAGCTTGGAGGAGCGACTAGGGGAGCTATCGGGAAGGCTCATTAGCGTGGAGGAGGAGATAAGAGGGATCAGGAAGGAGGTGGGTGAGGTACAGAGGGATGATTTAGTGGCGAGGCTAGTTAGGGTGGAGGAAGCACTCCGGGGGTTCCCCAGCCTTCCGGACTTTACTGGGACCCTCCCAGTAAAGTCCTTTCGTCCTTTGACAGCACGTCGAGTGCCGACTCCAAGGTGGCTAGTAATTGGGGTCAGGTCGTAAAGGGGGCGAAGGTTAAGCGATCCCAGGAGGCAGTCATTAAGACCGAAAACAAGTTTCTCGGGTTGAGGGAGGTCAGCTTGGATGAGGGAACGGCAAGGCATCACAAGCGAGGGACAGCCACTACGAGCTGTTTTAGACCGCCGCGTACTGGTTTGCAGGATAAGCAGGGAAGAGTGAAGTGTTTCTACGCGAATGCACGCAGCTTACGTAATAAAATAGACGAGCTCAGGGGAGGGCACAGGACAACGGTTTCGATGTCATTGGAATAACCAAGACATGGGGTAGCTCTCACATTTCGGATAAGGAATTCGAGATCGAAGGGAACGACATCTTGCGGAAGGATAGGCTCGACAGAAAGGGGGGAGGAGTCGTGTTGTACGCTAAAACCGAACTGGGCGTTCGCGTCAGAGAAGATCTCACCTCGGCTAACTGTGGAGCAATCGAACACTTATGGTGCGAGATCGGTGGGGCAACTGGGATGATCGTGATAGGAATTTGCTAGAGGCCCCCTAACTCTTCTCTCGAGGATGAAGCAGCATATTTTGCACTCATGCGTAGGATCGGCGAGATCTCAAAGCAAGTATTGCTCTTCGAAGACTTTAACATGCCAAAAATAGATTGGTCGGTGCCGCAAGGGGGGTGCGTAAGAGGTGCGTAAGGAATTTCTCGTTGCGGTTCAGGACGCTCTTCTCGTTCAGTACGTAAATGAGCCGACTCGCGAGGAAGCATTGTTGGATTTAGTTTTTGCGACGAACGACGATCTGGCACGAGACGTTAAGGTACAGGATAACTTGGGAGATTCGGATCACTACGCGATCACGTGGAATATCAAGCGGACGAAGAGTAACGCCAAACCGAGGAAGGTTTCGTACAACTATAAGAAGGCTAATTTCGAGAGACTACGTGAATGCGTTTCAGGCATCGACTGGGAGGCGCGGCTCCGTGGGCTGACGGTAGAGGAGCAGTGGGGGGCGTTCAAGACGTTATTGCAGGGCTTTATGAAGGAATGCATCCCCAAGAAACCCATAAAATCGGGCAGGCAACCGGTCTCGTTTACGGGTAAAATCAAAGCTCTCATCAGGGATAAAAAGCGGAAATGGGATGCGTACAAGCGGACGGGAGATAGCACGGACTAAGGAATNAAGAAGAAACTGGATGCTTTCATGGACAGGCAAAAAGGTGGGGGACAAAAAGGTCAATGTTGACGTTAGGTACCAGACAGTAAGCAACTAGGATAGTCAACAAAAAAAAAAAACAAAGCTATATATTTTTGTATTTTTGTTTTAAGAGGGTTAGGCCTACCCTAAAATTAAGGAACGCTCGACCTCGACACGTGATATCGAAATAGGCGAAATCGCCTCTTGATGTCACTAACTCTCTAGACTCTTGTGTCCGCTGCTTCCAAAATTCTTAAATATTTTCCAAAGTAATTTATATCACTGCGACACGTGATCTTAGTAGTAATGTACAAAGTAAAACTAAAACCTGAACAGTTTTTTTTTTTTTAATGCCGATCGCCTGTTTCTCAAGTTAATCACAGGCAGCGCTTATCATCGGGACAACATTAAGTCAGCGTCGAATAGGAATTGAGTGAAAATTAATTCCATAACTTGTGCTCCTCCTTCGCCTCCCGTCGTCGCTGCAGGGAAACTACCACTTCTTCCCTTCACAAAATTGAACATTTTCACCGTAGATCATTCGTGAACTCCTATATACTGTATCTCTACGTGATTCACTGGTGATTTTCATCATCATCCATCATTAAACTGCCGCAACACACTTTTTACTCTCAATTAAAAAATCAGCGGTTAATCCTCCTTAAATCTAGTGAACTCTTGCCGTGTCGAAGGTATGTTGGCTATTTCGTATTCAAGAAGATACGCTTCAGTCGTTGCTCATCCGTTTATTATTGTCCAACATATACTTGTCTTTTCAGTTATCCCTCGTCTTAAATTTCCTGTAACGGGATTTTTAGGAAGAAATTAAATAAAATGCATTTCATTGAGGAACCGAAGATATGACTCCATCTAGAAAATGATCTTTTACAGGTTTAATGGCATTAAGCCCAATGGAGAATTCTGATCAGAAAAGTTTCATTCAAGAAAATGGAAACAGACTTTGGAATATTTGATAGAGGAAAAATTGGTATTTCCAGGTGGGGAAAGAAAGATGGGTCCTGAAGCGACATATACCTTCAATGAAACAACGCAAAGTGGTGGGGGAAACACTAGCCGACATTCCGTAACCGAACGTTGGATCTACATCATCCGGCTTTTTCTGGACGGGGAATACGAGGAGCCGCCCGCAGAGGTCTTGCCACCCGTTCCCGAAATCAAAGAGGAGGATTCCTGTATCATAATCTGAATTTATTCCTCTCATTGGATGGATGAAAGGCCCAAACGTGCAGGTATACCATCAATAGGCTTTGGTAGCCACTTTAACCTTTCTTGGGGCCTGCAGGTGGGTGGTAGCGATCTTCAGTCTTTTTCTATTCTAATTAGATAAGATGAAACTTCCAATGGGGATTTTAATTACTGGATGAGGATTCGCATTCCTCGTGAATACTTTCAAATGTATACTTTAAACTGGGCATGTGCTTTCGAAGATGCCGTGCTCTGACAACCCAGAGAATGTTGCTCTCCAAGTTTTTCCAATGCATACGTTTGTTGGTTAGAAATTCTTATGCAATTTACGAAACGTCAAACCTCGAAGTTGCTGGTAGCCGTGACTCCTCAAATATGCACTGCACAGCAGTAACTGAAATACAGTGCTGTACTGAAATCCGGTACATGTTCATAAGCATAAGGAAACCACTTACACAGTGTCCTTCTCAGAAGCCCTAATCAATCTTGCAAGGAAGCAATATTACTACCACATCTTGCCATCACATGTCTAACTAGCGGTGAAAATGGCTATTGCTTGACTTTTGCGATTGCTGAAAAATTGTTAGATTTTTCAAATTCATTGCCAAATAATATCGTCACCGTCACGAAGATGCAACGATTTATCCCCATATTGTATTTTTCGGTCAATCAATGAATCTACATCACCAAATTCTTTTTACATACAAATGACGTCATCACCATATTTAATTAATCTAACCCCAAATTCTCCCTCAGTATTTTCATCGGATGCCGTGAATCGACCACCAAATTTATCGAGTTAGCACCAAGTCATTGTCACATTTCACGTGCCAAAAGATGGACAATTTTCTTTTATAAAGCCTTCATTGGTCTAATTTTCTTTCCTAGTGAATGCTTGCAAATACCAGTTTTGATCCAAACTTGGAGCGCTCACAACCCAGAGGGAGAATCTTCTCTTCGAGTTCTTCCAAGGCTCCAGTTTTCTGATCAGATATTCTTGGGCATTTCCGAACCTCTTCCCTAGTGGCGTTGCCGTCACTGCTGACAATATAGAAGGCCTCTTCTTGTTTCAATGTCCTCAAAGTCGTTTGTTGCCAAGTCACCTCTAATATGTAGAGCACACAGAAACTGAAAGTCAGTGCCTTACTGAACTCCCATATATGTTCACGAGCGCAATACCAGTTACTCAGATCCTCCCCCGAAGCATACTATCTTGCAATCTCAGCTTGCCATCAGAGGCTTAACTATACACAGAGATAAATAATTTAAAATAATAATTTATAGGGTTGCAATGTCTGAAAAAGGCAAAAGTTCGATGATTTTGGAGTGGGTTAACATGTATTTGGTGATACCAGCACCTGTTATAGTGCAGTCATATTTAGTAAAATCAAAAATTAAAATTTGGCGACTGATTCCAATTTGGTGAAGATTCATTGTCCTCTGGTTACGGAGTCAATATACCTGCAGGCTGAAAATACTTGGTGACAAGTTCATTATTGTTAGTTGGTGATTAAATACCTTTCCTGAAAAATAAATAAGTTTGGTGGTGTGAGCTCATGCGGATTTAATGAGAATTTGGCTGCGAAGCAATTATATTTGCTGCAATCGAAGAATTTTGGTGACTAACTCCAGATTGGTGAAGACTCATTGAAGTCTGCTGATGGAGTCAATTTATGTGGACTAAAAAATTTAGTGACAAGTTATTTATTTATTATTCAACCAATAATTTAACAAAGTACATTCATACATACCAGGTGTTGCACATAGATAGCCCCCCCCCCTCCACAGCCTAAACTATTATAAGAGCAAGGAATAAAACTCGTACATCATGAGAAAGAGCATTCATTTTCGAATCTAAACATGTACTTATAATTTATATGCACCCTCGCTCTGGCTCTGAGAGCTTTAATACGAGCGGGGTAAGATGAAAAGAGGCGCTTAAGGAGTTTCGTGTCATCTCCCACGTCCAACACCCTGGTGATGTCGCTTTGTAAGGCAAAAAAGCAATCCCTGAGCCTTTCAGCAATTGCCGCGTGATCAAAGCTTTGAAAAATACATACATACATTTTTCCCCCTGGGATAATTTCTGGGAAAGTATTCCAACCATGATATATCGGCTTGTACGATCACGAAAAGTACCCTTTTTGTCGTTTGCGATGCAGTCATTAGCAAACTTTCACTAGGAACACTAATTCACAGCTGGGATAGTCAGTGTCCTCTGCCTTGCAGGCCTGCTAAAATAAAATTTTCTTTTGACGCATGAAGTGTGACTGATTTGGTGCTGCCTCAATAAAAATTTAGTGGTCATTTCATAGCATTGGTGAAAACACTGAGGAAGAATTTGGTGTAAGATTCGTTAGGTCCGGTGATGAAATCATTTGGTGACGATAATAAGAATTCGGTGATGTAAACTCATTGAGTGACAAAATAATAAAATCTTGTGATGAATCAATACTTCGTAACGGAGTCAATATAATTTGATGATGAATTAAATAGGTTAGTTTTTAATTCCTATAACACTCCTCGCGCGGTCTCATAATAGTCCCTATTGTTCTTATTTTCTATTGTTGTCAAACTGATGCAGAGACCTGTACGGTATTTTTTTCCCTTGGTAATGAAGCTCCCAATGTCAACGTTCTGCATGTTCCTTTACATTTTATTAATTAACCCAAGTTTGATCTCGTCGGCAAACATGCCGGCCATTGTTGAACTCTACCATGTGCACGTGCCGTTATTCTTCAGTTAAGTTGGATTATGACTTATTTCAATACCCCTTAATTGCAAGTTTTTTTACTTGGTTCATATTGGTAAACTATGTTTTTTTTTTCAGGCATTTTGAGCAGAATGTCTCGTAAGCCATCTGGTTCTCAGTTCAGGAAGAGGCGCGCTTAGAGCAAGAAAAATAATTTCAGTCCATGTCTAGTTCCATGCTAAATTACTTGAAGAA